AGATTTACATGCATACACTCAATTCTTATGTATTTACATATTCAACACTTTAAACTTCAATTTTTACATAGATACCACCTTACCTATGCATGAAAAGGTGTGTTTCACTTTTTAAAAGTCAAATGGTAGTATTTTTGATGTAAAATGAAAGATTTAGGGGGTATATTAGGTGTTAGATATGTAACTACTAAGGAATTAGTCGGTATGTATGTAAATGTCCCTTTATTATTTTATCTTATCATTACAATTTTTTCTTATATGTTCTTGTCCCCTTTTTTTGACTAGTTTGAGTCATTCTTCAATGCAAAATTCTTTTCTTATGCGGTGGAATCAAAATGACTCAGCTGATCATAGTGAGATAATTGCCACTATTTTTTATGAATTCACGCTGCAGAATGTTAGGGTGCAACTGAAGGAATCGCTTCCTGGAACTGGAGGTGGAACAAATCCTACTGAGAGAATGTTGATCAAGTTTTTGTTCGCATGTCCCTTATTCATTCTCTTGATCTGTTATTATAGGCCATGCCTTCAGGTTCTTATATTATATGTTTAGTTGCCACACATTTGGAATTTGGCAATCTTGGTTTTTTTTTTTTATAAATTTAAAGGTTAGGATTTTCTTCTTCGGTGTCAGGCGAATGCTGAATCATGGAACATATTTTCTGGGAATATTTGTGACTATGCTAGACGGTTCTTATATAAATACAGAGCAGGTGGAGGGCTTCCTACTTATTCTGCTGTTGGTGTTACTTCTTCTTCTTTGGGCAATCCTAATCAACAGGTTTTTTCTTAATCATTTTTGGTGAAGAGCAATATATATTACTGGTTCTTTGGTTACATTACAAGTTTGATTTCAGTGCCCAAATTTTAATGGTCGATTACAAAGTACAATGTTTTAGTAATGCTTAGTTTTGTTTTTTCATGACAGAATTCATTTATTTTCTTATTTTAAGGTTCATAGTTTTACTTTTTCTTTTGTTAGAAACCACGGAAATTTTTCTGTCACTTGTTTGTATTGGAATTTCTTTTCATTTTAATTTTTATTAAGTTTTCATGCAAGATGTACTAGTTCTATATATCCTGCTTTTTATTTTATCATGCATTTTATACATGTGCATTGATGTGTGTAGACTTGCGACTAAGTAAGATTTAGCTCATAATCATTTTCCAGATTTAAACTATAGAAACTGAGTGCTTTTGGCAGAACTTGTTTCTGCAATTTGTCCAAATGGTCATTGTGCAAACTGATTTTATGGAAAAGTTAATTAGATTATATATAAAATTTGTCAATGCCTTATCTTATTATCAAAACTATTTTGTTTACTTTGAAATAGAAACTTGTGTTTAAATCTCTGTCAGCACTTATCAGCAGCGGCTTTGAGGGTTTCATTAATTATATATGTTCTATAATATACCAAATTCATATTTGTTCTTTCCTCTAGAACCTGGTTTACTTGATCTCATTGCTACTTTAGACGTTTCTAGCTCTAGCGAATTCTTTATTTTATTCTCTAATCTTATTGGTTATATGCTTTGAAAATTAACTAGCTTACATGTTGATTTTGGTGAATACTTAAAATTGCAATATCAATATCTAAAAAGAGAATTTTGGTCTTAAGGATTCTTTATTTATTAGAAGATTTACATACGTACCACACAATTTCAATTTCTATGTGTATACATAAGTAATAATACCCAAACTTTGATATTTACATTAATACCACTATCCCTTTGAATTAAAATGTGTATTTCACTTTTGGAAAGTTAATGATAGAGGTATCTTTGATGTGATAAGAAAGATTTGAGTGTTAGAAATGTAATAATGAAAGTTTAGGTGTTAGATATGCAAATTCATAAGAATTGTACGGTCTGTATGTAAATGCCCTTTATTTCTTTATTATTTGTTGTTATTATTGAATGCTTGGCTTTAAATCTCTATTTCTTCCGGCTAATGTTCTATAAATTCTGATGGCTTTTCTTGCCTGTTTTTTTTATTTTTTATTTTTAATTCAGGGTTGCTGTCTGTTTACTGTTATAATTTTGAAGCTTTTTACATGATTGTGAAATTTTCTTCTCTATTTGCAGTTTCTAAATGGTGCCAATTCAAAAATTCCTTCTTATTTGGGCCCAACATCAATCTTTTTCTGCTTTACAGCTGCCTTATTGTCCCTTGCCATTGCTTTTATTATTATACCCCGGCAAGTAACTCCTTGGACCGGTTTGCTGTTGATGTATGAGTGGACATTTGTGATATTTTTCATATTGTTTGGGACTTATCTTCGCATCGTCTATAATTGGGGAAGGTTGTCAGCTAGTCAGGCTGGAAGGGCATATAATCAAATGGATTCTTCTCATTATGATTCAGGCAAAGGTTTGTTACTTAAAATTTCCTAAACTGTAATTTGTTTTGACATTCCTGCAAATTATTTAATGCGCACCTTTGATTTTAGGCCATCAACGCCATCCATCTACCTGGGATACTGTCACATGCTTCTACGGCGCTGGGTTGGCCTTTCTAGCAGTTACTGTTCCTTCACTGCCATTTTTATTTGGAATCTCTGCACTTTTTTCTAGGTAAAACTCTCTTGGAAATCTACATACTTTCTGTTTATACTTGTCTAACTTTTAATTTACTGGAAGAATCATAATTCTTATGCAATAATCATTGACCAAGTTTCAATCTTTATCATCTAGTCATGAGAATGCAGCTTCTTTCCTTCTGCTTTTTGGTATTTAATAGAAGGGAAATTTACAGGCATACCACACAATTCTAATGTATTTGCATATTCATATTTACATACACATTACTCTAATATTTAATATCACTTCAAAAATACCATTAATGCTAACTTTTTAAAAGTGAAGTACACCTTATCAGATATAGGTTCATGACGCTAAAGTGTTATAAATGTAAATATAAAAGTTTAGATGTTAGATATG